AGACAGAGCTGACGAAGTCCTGGAATGCCCCGCTCTCGGCTAGAAACCGCTCCGATATATCCGCCTCGCTGCGCTCGGTGGACGGAGCCGCCGACAAAGGTTATTCAGCCATGCCGCCCGTTGAGGACTTGGTCGCCGCACACCTCTGCCCGCCCTCTGCTAGATGGCGCTCTTCCCCCACGCTTCCTTCGAAAGCTTGCAGAGCGACCTCGAGCTTTCATGCTCGCGCCTATGCCGCCGCCGCAGCGCTGCATTCTATGTCTGTCCTCCAAGTGTTACAGAGCGATATTCTCCGTGAGTGGGCCGAGAGCGGTAGAAACCCCTCCTCCGCTGTCACGGATCTGAGAAGTGCTACGGACCTCGCCCTTCGCGCCACTAAAGCCGCCGCACAAGCTCTGGGGAGATGCATGGCCAGCCTTTGTGTATCCGAGAGACACTTATGGCCCACGCTTGCCGACATGGGAGATTCTGAGCGCGCCGCGTTTCTTAACGCGCCCCTCTCCCCGACGGGCCTTTTTGGATCTGCTGTCACGGGAATCGTCGATCGCTTTTCCGAGGTCCAGAAAGGGCATGAATTTGTTTCTGCCCCGCCGCGCTAGCTCTTCCGCAGGCCGCTCTCGCGAGCCTCCTGCCAGAGCTCCACCACAGCGCCCTCCTCCGCAGACTCAAACAGCCCAGCGCAGACAGGGCGGCTGCCCTCGCTCTCGCTCTGACAGCCGCCGCAGACCGCCGCCCCCACGGGCCCGCGACCCAAGATCACGCTGAAGCCTGATCATCAGAAGTCTGCCTAGCAAAGTTAAGAAAACGACGGCGCTCTCCCGCTGCGGCCGGACCGCCGTCAAAGCTTCGCCCTCTGCCAGTCCCCGTTGTTTCGCCGACTGCTGTAGTGTTTACCGCCACAAACAAGCCGGTGTCCCAGCCCGCTTGCGAGCGACAAAAAGCCGTTTTTACGGCTACCCAGAGAAATCTCAAAAAGAGAAAATATGCCAGTCGTGTAGAAAATGTGCCCACAATCATGTGTTCACCCATACACACAAGCATAACATATCCCGTGTCTCTCTCAGAGCCCCATCACATGAAACGGGCACAGCCCGCTCTAATATCAGAGAACATAAACACGCCCACGAGCTCATGCGCGTGTCCCCTCTCTGCTCGCTCTGTTTCACGGCCCATAGACTCCTCTCTGAGTGCAAGTCCCGTTGCCACACACATTCAAAGCGCGCCCACACACTGTGTCCAGCCCGCTATGTGCAGCAATCAGGGCGATATAGCCATTCGGCCACTAGCCGCATGCTCCAAAGCGTGGGAAGCCATTCCAGGCATTTCCCCGTGGGTGCTAAGCATTATAAAGAATGGCTATCTGCTACAGTTTCGCCGCCGCCCGCCTCGTGCGCGCGCTCGGCTCGAATCTACTGTCAGCTCGCTGGCCGCCGGCACGCTCCGCTCAGAAATTGTGACGCTGTTGCAAAAGGGTTTTTGAACAAAGTGCTCATGAAGAGACCGTTCAAGATGCTCACTACCAGGAAACTCCTCGCGCAGGTGCGCCAGGGGGACTGGTTCATCTCTCTAGACCTGAAAGACGACTATTTATAGATCCAGATAAATCCCCGTCACAGGCCATTCTTACGTTTCGCCTTCGAGGGTCATGTTTATCAATACGCCGTTCTCCCGTTCGGCTTATCCCTGGCGCCCCGTACATTCACGAAGTGCATGGATACGGCGCTCGCCCCCCTGCGGAGCCAGGGGCTGCGCATATTGAATTATCTGGACGACTGGCTGATTTTGGCCCAATCACAGACGGAGCTTCTGTCGCACTGCGCAGTTCTCCTCGACCATCTGAAAACGCTGGGCCTCTCTGTCAACTGGACAAAGAGCTCCCTTCAACCCAGTCAATCGATTTCCTTTCTAGGAATAGATTTGAACTCGGTCACGATGACGACTCCCCTGTCCACACAGCGCGCGCGCAGTGTTCAGCGACTAGCCGCCTCATTTCAGATGGGCACCCGCACACCTCTGAAAACTTTTCAGAGGATGCTGGGTTACATGGCTTCAGCCTCCGCTGTGCTTCAGCTGGGCCTTCTGCACATGCGCCCGCTTCAGCTTTGGTTAAACAGCCGTGTACCCCACCGCGCGTGGAACACGGGCCGCCAGCTGATCAGGGTTACGCAGACATGTCTCACGGCGCTGCAGCCATGGACAGTAGCAGAATGGTTTCGGCAGGGCGTCACGATGGGGACCTTTTCCCGCCGAAAAGTCATCTCGACAGATGCATCCAACACGGGTTGGGGTGCAGTCTGCGAGGGCTCACCGGCCTTCGGCCATTGGTCGACACAGGAAAGCCCCTTACACATAAACTGTCTGGAAATGCTTGCGGTCGAGAACGCGCTCTCGCGCTTCCTCCCGCTCATTCGGGGACACCACGTCCTGATCCGTTCGGACAACATGGCTGTGGTCTCCTATCTCAACCGTCAGGGCGGTGTCAGATCCAGGAATCTCTTCCTACTGACACACCGCATTCTAGTTTGGTCTCAGAGCCGCCTGCTCTCGCTCAGAGCGACGCATGTGCCGGGCCATCTGAACGACGGTCCAGACATACTGTCCAGGAACCTCATCTCCACAGGAGAATGGTCCCTGAACACACAAACGGTCCAAATACTGTGGCGGCTATTCGGCAGAGCAGAAGTGGACCTCTTCGCGTCAGAAGAGAACGCTCACTGCCCAATATTTTTTTTCAAGGAGCGAGGACGCGCTAGCCCAGGAATGGCCTCGCCGCCCGCTCTATGCATTCCCTCCGATCGCTCTGCTACCGCAGGTAATTCAGAGGTTCAGGGACACACGCCACTCGGTGCTCCTCATAGCCCCGCGTTGGGAGAGTCAGAATTGGGTTCCGGAGCTCACTCAGCTGTCACAGACAGTCCCGTGGCCCATCCCAGTCAGAGCAGATCTCCTCTCTCAAGCTCGCGGCACGATCTGGCACCCCCATCCACGGCGCTGGGCGCTACATGCATGGGTGATCAACGACTATTCGTCGATTTGCCAGAGGGAGTAAGAAACACTATCATACAGGCTAGAGCACCTTCCACGAGAAGGCTCTATGCGTCTAAATGGTCTGTGTTCTCAAAATGGTGCACCGACAAACATCTGGACCCACGGTCATGCGAGGTGCCGTCTTTGCTTGTTTTCCTTCAAGAGATGCTGGACAAGGGCAGGTCCCCCTCCACTCTCAAGGTTTACGTGGCAGCCGTCGCGGCGTTCTCTGAACCCCGACGCGCTCAGTCCCTGGGCAAAGACGAGTTAGTCATCCGCTTCCTCAGGGGAGCTAAGAGGATGAACCCTCCGCGCCCCCCTTCGGTTCCTATCTGGGATCTTTCTATAGTTCTCGAAGCTATGAAAGCACCCCCGTTCGAACCGCTCGAGTCTGTGGACCTAAAATACCTCTCGCTCAAAACCGTTTTTCTGACGGCTCTGTCCTTAGTAAAACGCGTGGGGGATCTTCACGCGCTCTCATCCAGCGCCGCGTGTCTTGAGTTTGGACCGAATGATTCTGTTGTCATTCTCAAACCTAGGCATGGCTATGTCCCGAAGGCGATTGGTACCCCGTTCAGGGCTCAGATTATTTCCCTATCGGCTCTGCCTTCATCCGATAGTGAGTGCGACGCCAATCTCCTCTGCCCGGTGCGGGCTCTGAGATTGGTTCGCCCCTTGTGCTCTCCTTCGATGCTTATGTATACACTTCATGTGCCCGCCCTGCCGGCCTCATATTACACTCACTCCATGTTAAAAATCCCCCGGTATCACCCTGGGATTCATGAGTGGATTCATAGCGCGCACGGCGTTGACCAGGTGTTCCCGCAGCGTAAGCTAGCTTACGCAATACGAGAGAACCTCTCGTAAGAGAACGAATCGGTTACCTAACGTAACCTCGGTTCTCTCTAGAAGAGGGAACGAGTATTGTGTTCCCGGCCGTGCTTGCGCTACTAGCGTTTCGCTTCACGCTGAAATAAATCAACATATAAGCCTGGGAGAGACTGTTATATACACCATAGCCACGCCCATTCTGGCGGGCCATGATGCAATGAGCGCGCGGGCGCTTCTCATTGGCAGCGGTTTCAGCCCCGCTCTCCCATAGGCTTAAGCAGTTCTCTCTGAGCGAACCAATGAGCTGCTAGCTAGCCTGCTCTAGGTCTGCCGCAGAGGAACTGCGTTGTCAATGGATACAAATTATGAAATAATTTTTTGGCTTCAAACTCTCAGCAAAGATGAATCTTTCCAGCAGCGTAAGCTAGCTTACGCAATACTCGTTCCCTCTTCTAGAGAGAACCGAGGTTACGTTAGGTAACCGATTCGTTTTCATGAGCTGTATGCCAAAATCATCAGTATTGAAACAATAAAAGACCTGAAATATTTCAGTTGGTGTGCAATGAATCTAAAATATATGAAAGTTTAATTTTAATCATTACATTATGGAAAATAATGAACTTTATCACAATAATCCAATTTTTTTGAGAAGGACATGTATGTGTAAATTACCTGTGAATCTAGTAACGGATCCTGTGGAGATTCTCAGAGGAATAACGGCTGTTTTTGCCTTGCGACGTCAGAGTGTGCGCTTCTGATTGGCCAACGTGGCTTTACGGTTAAGGTTTATATCGCCGCCTGCTGGCGTGGCATGCTCTTGACCGCGCTTGATAGCGTGTTTTTGCGTTTTCATGTAGACGGAGACCGAGCATGTGTGGACGGGATTTTTTTTAAAAACGCTGTAGGAAAAACTCCGGTTATAAAAATACACGTGTCCTTGTGGACAAGGCCTTAGTTTCACGGGAACGCGCTCGCTCTCCGGTCCGCTCGCTTCTCTTAAAGGGACAGTTCACCCCGAAAATGACCATTCTCTCTTTACCTTCTAGAGGTCATAAATATGTGAGAGATGATAACGAGTTTAATGTTTTTCAACCATTCTCTTGGCAATGCTACCAACATCTGTGATTTCTACTGTCTTCTAGACTCAGTTTCTGGCAACCTTTCGTATGGCGAAATGGGATTACGACTGGTCCGACAGGATGGAGATGATGATCACCGCTAACAGGTGACTGAGTCTTTGACAGATTTGTTTGTTTTCAGGCTGTTTCATATCAGTAATGTTCCAGGTTATGAAGAATGACTTTACGTTCATTCATGAGTAAATTCTGTATGTTTGTTCAGTGATAATAATGGAAACATCAGCGATACGGCGGTGAGGAGGAGCGTCCCGGTTCAGTTCGCCGTTGATCTGGCGATCAGTCTGTAAATGGCATTTATTTCACTTCTTTTCTTCTGTTTCTGCTCTTCATCTCTGAATGATTGAAAATTCAACATCTAAATGTCTTTCTGTTAGGAAAGGTTTTGTTCTGTTTTATTATCAGCAGTTAATACACTGGGACATTAACATTACACTCACCGGCCACTTTATTAGGTACCCCATGCTAGTAACGGGTTGGACCCCCTTTTGCCTTCAGAACTGCCTCAATTCTTCGTGGCATAGATTCAACAAGGTGCTGGAAGCATTCCTCAGGGAGTTTGGTCCATATTGACATGATGGCATCACACAGTTGCCGCAGATTTGTCGGCTGCACATCCATGATGCGAATCTCCCGTTCCACCACATCCCAAAGATGCTCTATTGGGTTGAGATCTGGTGACTGTGGAGGCCATTTTAGTACAGTGAACTCATTGTCATGTTCAAGAAACCAATTTGAAATGATTAGAGCTTTGTGACATGGTGGAAGTAGCCATCAGAGGATGGGTACATGGTGGCCATAAAGGGATGGACATGGTCAGAAACAATGCTCAGGTAGGCCGTGGCATTTAAACGATGCCCAATTGGCACTAAGGGGCCTAAAGTGTGCCAGGAAAACATCCCCCACACCATTACACCACCACCACCAGCCTGCACAGTGGTAACAAGGCATGATGGTTCCATGTTCTCATTCTGTTTACGCCAAATTCTGACTCTAACATCTGAATGTCTCAACAGAAATCGAGACTCATCAGACCAGGCAACATTTTTCCAGTCTTCAACTGTTCAATTTTGGTGAGCTCTTGCAAATTGTAGCCTCTTTTTCCTATTTGTAGTGGAGATGAGTGGTACCCGGTGGAGTCTTCTGCTGTTGTAGCCCATCCGCCTCAAGGTTGTGCGTGTTGTGGCTTCACAAATGCTTTGCTGCATACCTCGGTTGTAACGAGTGGTTATTTCAGTCACTGTTGCCCTTCTATCAGCTCGAACCAGTCTGGCCATTCTCCTCTGACCTCTGGCATCAACAAGGCATTTCCGCCCACAGAACTGCCGCTCACTGGATGTTTTTTCTTTTTCGGACCATTCTCTGTAAACCCTAGAGATGGTTGTGCGTGAAAATCCCAGTAGATTAGCAGTTTCTGAAATACTCAGACCAGCCCTTCTGGCACCAACAATCATGCCACGTTCAAAGTCACTCAAATCAACTTTCTTCCCCATACTGATGCTCGGTTTGAACTGCAGGAGATTGTCTTGACCATGTCTACATGCCTAAATGCACTGAGTTGCCGCCATGTGATTGGCTGCTTAGAAATTAAGTGTTAACGAGCAGTTGGACAGGTGTACCTAATAAAGTGGCCGGTGAGTGTATATTAAAATGACAGAAAAACTTATGATTGACTGAGAAGTTATTGAGTTATTGTGTGTTTGTCAGAGCGGCTGAAGACTCTGTGACGTATCTGGATTTCTCTCTGGAGGACAGAGGTCCAAAAGCTCTCAACATCGTCTACAAGGTCAGAGTCAAACACACATCTACAGCTTCATCGTGTTGTTTTTGGGCTTGATGCGATCAGATTGGTGTGTGTCTGTGTGTTTGTGTCCACAGGTGGAGAATCTGGGTGTTAAAGGTCTGCCGGTGTCGCTCAAGCTCACCCTGCCCTGTCAAACTACACATGTGATTTTAACCCCTCAGAACTTCAGCATGCAGGAGGTGCGTCACTCGTTCATCAGCTCATACCATCAAACCAGCATGTGTTCTGCTGAATAAACATCTTCTGTTCTTCTCTACAGAACTCAGTGTCGTGTAGATTCATCAAACCGCAGGTAAGAGATCATAGACCCTTTTACAGCTGCTGTTAAAGTGATCGTTCACCCAAAACATGATCATTCTGTCATCATTTACTCACTCTCATGTCAAGTCAAGTTACCTTTATGTCAAGTCAAGTTACCTTTATTTATATAGCGCTTTTTACAATACAGATTGTATCAAAGCAGCTTTACTGTAATAACATGAAAATAATACAACACAGTTTGTTTCTAGAAGAAAATTGCATCATCGTCCACCTTAAGGAAGGCAGATCAATAATATTGTTGAATATTAAATGTCCCCAACTAAGCAAGCCAAAAGCCAAGGCAACAGTGGCAAGGAACCAAAACTCCATCAGGGACAGAATAGAGAATAAAACCTCGGGAGAACCCAGACTCAGTCGCTCAGTTCTCCTCTGGCCAAGGAGCGAACAGTGTATGATTATCATTCAGGAGCATTACAGGTCAGAAGTCAGATTGGATCAGAACATTCAGAATATTAATCCAGTTCCATCTGGATGGAGGTCGGAGTCACGCCGGTATGGAGACGAGTTTGCAGAGGTGTCCATGAGGCCTTCACAGGGCTGATGAGGCTGGCACTGCAGGGTCGTGTCCAGGTGCAGGTTCACCGTCTGATCTGGATCCGGCCCGGATCCGGCTGACTTCAGTATAAATATATAGAAAGACTAACATTAGCGTAGATGCCATTCTTTTTATGATGTAACGAGTACATTGGGTCTTAAAGGAAGTGTCCCCAGTTCCGGCTGACCTAATCTATGCAGCCTAATAATCATTTAACTGATTTGAATAATAGAAATGTATAATGTTCTATGTGTATGCCAGGTTAAAGAGATTTTTTTTTAGTCTAGGTTTGAACTGACAGACTGAGTCTGCTTCCCGGACAAATTTAGGAAGATTGTTCCAAAGTTTTGGTGCTAAATAGGAAAAGGATCTACCGCCTGCAGTCGATTTAGATATTCTAGGTATTATTAAGATGTTCAATGCAGTGTTGACAGAACCGGCCTAATATGGTCATACTTCCTGGTTCTGGTAAGAACTCGAACTGCTGCGTTTTGGACCAGCTGTAGTTTGTTTATTAAGCATGCAGGGCAACCACCCAGTAGAGCATTACAGTAATCTAGTCTTGATGTCAAATGAAAGATTGGTATGAAAGAGCACACCCAGGTTCCTAACCGACGACGAAGACTTAACAGAGCAGCCATCAAGTGTTAGACAGTATTCTAGGTTATTAAGTGAGGAAGTTTTCGGTCCAATAATTATAATCTCTGTTTTTTCAGAGTTAAGTAGTAGGAAATTACTAGTCATCCAAACTTTCATATCAGCTTTGCATTCCGTTAATTTTGTGGTTTGGTAAGTTTCGTCAGGCGTGAAGAAATATACAGCTGAGTATCATCGGCATAACAGTGAAAGCTAACTCCATGTTTCCTAATGATATCTCCTAATGGTAGCATGTACAGAGTGAACAGCAGCGGTCCTAGTACTGAGCCTTGTGGTACGCCATACTGAACTTGTGATCGATAAGACATCTCTTCATTTACTGCTACAAACTGATAACGGTCAGATAAGTATGATTTAAACCATGCTAGTGCAATTCCACTAATGCCAACATAATTTTCGAGTCTATTTAAAAGAATGTTGTGGTCAATAGTATCAAATGCAGCACTAAGATCGAGTAACACTAATAGAGAGATACAACCACGATCGGATGATAAGAGCAAATCATTTGTGACTCTAATGAGAGCTGTCTCGGTACTATGGTACGGTCTAAAGACAGCTTCTGAAACGAAGGCGAAATCCACTGTAGATGATGCACACTCTAACTGGTTTCAACGGCGAAGCTTTTAGAGGACTCAGAGACGTGAAGTATGTCGCTGAAGGAGATAAAATCTGCTATAATGGCTATTTCGGGGGCTTCTATGGGCTATGGCCACTCCCCTTGTTGCGGGCTCTGACGGTGTATGACATAATGATAGCTCATTGGCACACCCATAATTTTTGGGTGAACGATCCATTTAAGATCCGATCACAAGCAGTCACAGTAAACGCATCTTCTGTCTGTTGGATTTCATCTGTTTAGATCAGTTGATTCTCTGGTTTATTGGTGTCAGTGTTTCAGGTCTCAGTGTTGTGTTGATGTTTCAGGACGGTCACTGCGGGAAGTTCGAGTGTGGTCAGTTTGATCTGCAGAAATCTTCAGTAGTTCACTTCATCCTGACGGCAGACACAGCTCTCCTGAACGTGAAGGAATACGAGAGCGTGAGTGACGAACACAGACAAACAAACACCAGTTAAAGATGGAATAACTCTGAAATCAGACTCTGTTTCTTCTGCTGTAGAAATACTCCTTCCACGAGTTCAGAGAGGATTTTGTCTTGGACATCAGCGCCGAGCTCCACTACAACAGAAGCCGCTACAACCAGACGTCGACCGGCCTGAAGGTGATGAGTGAAAGAGATCTGTACCTTTGCCATAACTGATGTTGTGCTTGTGATTGTCAGTGTCGGTCTGAATTCACACCACAGACCTGCAGGAGTCCATGACTGACGTCACTCTTACAGCATTACAGATACAGACACTGCTCCTTCATATTTATAACTATTTCTTCTTCACTCTGCAGGACGACCCTCACCAATCACAGGTACCCACATCTCACTCCTTCATCCATCATCTAAAGATGATCAACGTTTGTAGAGTTGGTTGAGATGAGTTTCTCTCTGTCCCTCTCAGATTGCAGTGAGGGCGGAGTTTGTCGTTCCACCCAGTCTAATGCTGATCGTGTGCACTGGCGCAGTGGGCGGGGTCATCCTGCTCATTATCATATTGATCCTGCTGCTGAAGGTAAGAGCCAATCAGATCACCTCACACCTGATGTCATCATTCACCAATCCTCAAGCCAATCTGTTCATGTGTGTTTGTGTGTAGAGTGGTTTTTATAACCGAAAACATCCTGACGGGTATGAAAATATGATGGTGGTTCTCATTAAATTCAAGAAAACAAAAGAATCTGAGTATGGTAATTTTGAAGGTGACTTTAAAACTGAAGATTCTTACATTTTTTAGTGGTGTTGTATGATAATGTTTTCTGTCTTGTGTATACTGACTTAATTTGTGCTTTATTTAAATAACCCTTTTTATGATATACTGTACAATTCATTTTTATACTTTTCTGTTTCTTTAATCGCAAATCAAAGTGTTCTGTAAGTATAACCTTTGCATAGAAGATTGGTGGTCAAGAGAAAAAATAATCAATCATAGTATAATAAATGAGTTAATTGAATGAGATTTTGCCTAATCTGTTTATTGTTTGATGTTTTAATGGCACTTTCAGAAGACATGAAAAATTATCAAAATGCTTTATATTTATTCGAACTAATTACATATCCTCACTACAAAACTCGAGATTACAGTAACATAAACACACACACACACACACACTCACACACACACACACACACACACACCATCTTTAAGTTAATCAACAGAGAATGAAACACAAAATGTACAAATATAAATAAAACTGAAGAAATAAAAGCATTATGTTACGCGTTACATGATAATGCCACCTTCTACAGATCATTTACAGAATTGAATATAGTTCATATCAGTCGGTTTCAGAACGGCACATCTGTGAGTCTCGTTCATCAGAACCGCGATTAGCCATTCGGTGTGTCGTCGCCGCCGCCGGTCTCTGATTCCGTCTTGACTCTGAGCAGCGACGTCGCACTGGCGCTGCTCCCCGTCGCCGGGTGAGTCTCTTCGGCCGGTTGGCATGGCGTCTCGTGCACGCGCACGTGTTTGGCCAGGTGGTCGGCGCGCAGGAAGACGCGCGGGCACGAGCTGCAGCCGAAGCGCTTGGCGCCGGTGTGCGTCTGCAGGTGGCGCTGCAGCTCGTCCGAGCGGGTGAAGCGTTTGCCGCAGAACAGCCAGTTGCAGACGAAGGGCCGGTCGCCGCTGTGCCAGCGCAGGTGCGCTTTGAGGTGCGACGTCTTCACGTACGCCTTCCCGCAGCCGGGGATGTGGCAGTTGTGCAGGTGCTTGCGCTTGTCTCCGCCGCTGCTTCCCAGGGACTCGGCGCTCAGGCAGTTGGGGCAGCGGCAGGAGGCCTGACCGGGAGCGCGCCCACCCGCGCGCCGCTGCGATCTGGGCCGAGCGGAAGAACCCGCGGCGTCCTGCGGCTCCTCCGGGGAGTACGACGACGAGGCCTGCGGGAGCGGCAGCAGATCCTGCGTCAGCGGCTCCATCTTGAAGCCCTCTGGCGGGAAGTGCAGGCCGGAGTGGGCGGAGCCAGAGTGGGCGGAGCCGGAGGGAGGCAGGCAGCACATCTGAGGGTCGGTCGTGTAGGAGCCCATGGCCCCGCCCTGCCCTGGCCCCGCCCCCTGGAGGTCCATCCAACCCGCCGCGGCTCCAGTGTGCACGTCCCACCAGCCAGACACGCTCACCTCGTCCTGCGGCGGCCCGGCGCGCAACCAGGGGTCGTACGGGTGCGCCATGGTGTGTGTGTGAGAGAGAGAGAGAGAGAGAGAGAGACCGTATCACCACATGACTGTGGATGGGAATCTGATATCACCTGCGAAAGCACAGAACATCACAGTCAGAAAAACACAAACACATCCGTTTCAATGATTCAAAAATGATTCTTCCGTCATTAGTCACATCAAGCGTAGCGTCAGTTCTGGCGGGTCACGTTGGTCAAGCTCTCGTCAGTGACTCCGAGCTGATCCTCTACCTATAGATATACGACGCCTATCACTGCCCTCATATATAAGCTCCTTCAGTGTTATCAGCAGCGATCGCGTTTCCCAGGAGCGGATTACCCTCCTCCCTCCCCAGCTCCTCCTGTCTCAGTCAGGATTCGGCATTCTGATTACCCCTGTGAATCAGACTAAATTCTCAAATTATCTTGTACATTAAAATTAATTAATGATATCTGCAATACATTCATGTTGGTTGTGTTCTGTTCACCCTAAGGAGGGTTATCGCTGCTCTTATCCATGCTAGCCTGCCCAGAACAGAACCATACCGCCAATCCAAACTGTAGTAACTGCAAGTCAACTTATTCTCCTAACCCGAACCCTCACACTCGCCCTAACCCAACAGTCTACTGATACTGTAATGAGAGTTAGTTGACGTAGTGTAAATAAAGTGTAACACTAACTCTGTCATATGTCATTATTAACGCATTACAGTCCTGGTCAGATATTACAGCTTGAGCGCTTGTGTTTCTACACTCGTCCGTGTATATATGTCTGTGCACATTGAGTTGTTTGCCGTGTGTAGTGTGGGACTGTTTGTCCCCCGCGTCTGCAAATGAAGTGTTGATCTCAAACAGAGAGACGCAGCGTCACCGCCGAGCAGAAGTGCTGTCTCTGTGTTCCTGATGTGCGTCTGCAAACCCGCATTAACACAC